GTAATTGCGTAATAGATTTGGCGCAAAATGCTGTTGCAAGATTTAAAGTATTTCATCAGTTTCAAAGAATATTCCATAATTATAATAAAATAATTATTATAGAAGTTCTTCAAAAAGTGAAAAATAAATATCATAAACGGCAAAATTCTTCACATACCCACTATACACACTTCTAAAGTTTGAAAAATCATATTGCCTAATTGACTTAATCTATTCAAATAATTAATCATAAGTAATAATTTTCTTAAACCTTTTAAAACAGAATATTAAATAGCTGAGAAGATCTATATCGCATTTTAGGATGCGATCAATTAATTTTGTACTCAGCCTGAGCCCTTTTTTAAATCAATAAATCAAAATTTGTCTTAAGGGAAATCTATTTTCATCCATAGTGCCCTATCATATCTTGTATGTCGCTATACGTTCATTAATATTGAAGATACTGTCTAGTGCCCCTTTAGTAGTCGCCTTGTTTTATTTTTTCTATCTGAATATATTTGTTATATACTCCCCTTTCATTTGTTATGTCGCATGTTAGGATTCAAAAAATCCTAGAGAAAAATATAGAAAAATCGCTATAGAAAAAATATTTTAAATAAAAATATTTTTATTTTTTATTATTTTTTTATTTTTACGCACAACAGGCCGTTAAGGCCTAGGGCATTTTTTTACACACAATCCTAATATTAACTAATTAAAATTATTTTAAACAACACTTTAACTTAAATATGTATATACAACATTCTTAACTACTCTGAAGGACCTGGTGGACAATAGTTCTCTATTCGCTTCTATTTTGTGCTTTTTTTTCCAGTCCCTCACCTTCACGTGTTCAAGGTATTCTTCTACTTTACTAATTCACCTCATTCTGGGTCTACCTCTTCTTTTGGGGCTGATTAGTTTTCTGGTTAATCCTAGTTTGAGCATTCTGTTTGCTGCCATTCTTTCCACATGTCCCAACCATCTGATTCTTTGTGACTTGACGAACTTGGTAATGGTAGGTTCTTTGTATAAAGCTATTAATTCATTGTTGATTCTTCTCTCCCAACCATTTTCTGTCTACCGTCCTCCGAATATGCGTTTCAATATTTTCCTTTCCCATCTTTCCAGAGTATCCTCTTCCTTCTTATTTAATATCCATGTCTCACTGGCATATGTTACTGTGGGTCGAATTACTGTTTTATATATTCTGAGTTTACCTTGTCTAGAGACGTATTTTGAGTTCAGTAGGGCTCTTAAACTACCTAATTTTTTATTCCCTTTTGCTATTATGGCTTCGAGCTCCCATTTCTCTTTTCCATTTTCATCGAAAACTACACCCAAGTATCCAAATTTTTTCACCCTTTTAAAACTATAGCTTTTACCACTTACAGATCTCACACTAAAGTATTCTTTTTTCCCTTCTGTCCCTCCCATGATCATATATTTGGTTTTGTCTTCATTTAGGTCCAATCCGAATTTCTGTGCTTCTTCGATGATTTTCTTCACAATTCTTCTCCATTCTTTCTCGGTTTTTGCTAGGATCGTTAAATCGTCAGCAAATGCCAAGCACTGGTGCTCATTTTTCATGATTGTTTCTTCTACCTGCATGTTGCATTTTCTGATTACAGTTTCTAACACCAAGTTTAATAATGTAGTGGATAAAGGATCTCCCTGTCTCAAGCCTTTTACAACCGTAAATTGATCTGTCAACGAATTTGTCTAAAGACACATTTGCCTGTATATAGCTAACAACGGCTGTGAATGTGAATAGGAAGCTTAGGCAGAGTATAGTGTCATTGTGCAGTTACATTTTTAGTTTGTAGCGTTACATTAAATGTTAACAAATAGCACCAATTCAATTCCTGCACATTCTGAATTTCGTTGAAAACGACCTAATATTCATCAGTTTATTATTTGTTTTCTCAACTATTTTCTTCACCTGTATATCTACTCGGTTTTTCTTGTTAGCTTTACGTACTATTTCCATCTTAATGTTGTTGGTTGTGTTCCTGTTGAATTTTTTTCTATGAAGTTCTCATATTTGTATTCTAATGGTTATTGAACTTCTTCATTAAAATATGTAAATGAACCTTCTTCCGCATACTTTTTAATTAAATAATGTAAAATTATTATTTTTTCACAGCCACGAATTTGTTAGCAAACATTAAATAAAAAACAACTGTTGTTATTAATATAATTTTATTATGGATGTAATAAATTATAACTATTGTAATTTAAGTTTAAATTTTTTGTAGTTATTATTTATCTTATAATAACAGAGAATGTTCTTGTCTGAGTTATTTTTTGACTTTTTTTTTATCTAACTTATTATTTATTTAAAAATAGTTCCATTAACATAATAAAAATATAATTTTTATACGAACCATTCGAGACAAAAATTAATAATATCTTTCTTCTTCGGCATTACAGCCCAAATTGAGTCTTGGTCTCTTTTATTTTTTGCCTTCACCCTTGCTTGTCTGTGGTTGATCTTCTTCATACACGGACTCCTAAAAGGGTTTGTCGCTGTTTACTGTGTCTTTCCAGCGCTTTCTTGGCTTTACAACCGGTCTTTTTCCCCGAATTCTAGCATTTAGTGCTCTTTTTGGTAGCCTATCCTCTTCCATTCTTATCACATGTTCGGCCCTTTGCAATTTTTGTATTCTAATGAAGTCTGACAGTGGTGCTTCGTTATAAAGTTGATATAGCTCGTTTTTGTATCGACTTCAAGGTTCCGTTTTCACTCACAGGTCCTCTTATTTTTCTCAGTACTTTCCTTTCGAATGTGTCGAGTTTGCGTTTGGATGTTTCTTTCAGGATCCATGCTTCACTGCCATAGCATATTATTGATGTTATGTTATGCTATTGATGTTTTTGTTAGATTCTTATCTTTGTATTTCGGTGGACATTTTTAGACCGACATATATTGGAGAGGGCAAAATAAGCTCTGTTTGCCTGCGTTATTTTCTTCTATATTTTTACATCTTCTGATCCGTCGGCATATATTTTTTTACTCCCAGGTATATAAACTTTCCAACCGTTTTATTGTCATTTTCATGTATAATGTTCTGTGGGTCTATATTCCTTTTCATCTGTATCATTATAATATTAATATCATCGACATAAGCCTCCAGTGGAACTGTTTAGTTTGTCAGTAGATTTTCTTCATTCAGTTTGCATTTGCCTAACCGCATAGTCCAGTGTCAGCCCATCTCCCTGCTTTAGTTGTTGCGAAACTTTGAAAAAGTCTGTCCGGTGGTTTTGTATTCGTACACATGCCTTAGTTTCATCCATTGTGGCTTTAATAAGTCTAATTAGCTTGTGTGGTATTGCCAATTCAGCCAATATATTATTATTGGCTTTTGTTTTTCCTTTTTTGGTTTTTTTTTGACTGAGTCGTATGTCTGATTGAAGTCTATAATCACGTTGTGAGCATTAATGTCTTCATTTATGTTCCCATGATTTACTCAAGATCTGTTTGACTGTAAATATTTGATCCAGTGTTGATCTTCCCCGTGGGTAGATTGTTCCCCCGAGATGCCCAAATAGACAAACGAGGAAACATTTTTAATAAATCATCCCAAATTTTGGCATATGCAGATGATCTTGACCTAGTTTCCCGCACAACACGCAAGCTAGAAGAAATGTTTACTACCTTGTCAAATACCTAAAAAAATATGGGACTGCAAGTACATGAGGAGAAGACTAAGATAATGGCATCAGTACCCAACAATAGAGCCAGAAACATCGGCCACCAATTCACGGTTGATAACTCTACCTTTGAAGTGGTGGACAAATTCACATACTTAGGCTCCCTGATCACCAAGGATAACGTCATGACGGAAGAAATCAAACGAAGAATAATCCTAGCAAATAAATGCTATTTTGGATTGAGTAGACATATGAGAAGCAGAAAGTTAAGCCAAAAAAACAAAAATAACAATATAAAAAACCCTTATACAGTCAGTGTTGACATATATGGACCGAAGACGTGGACCATTTCCAAGGCAGATGAAAACCTTCTGCTTATATTTGAACGAAGGATACTGAGAAGAATATTCGGTGGCATCTGTAGAAATGGTGTTTGGAGAAGGAGGTATAATTACAGCAGAACAACCCTCCTAGAAGAATCCTTATATCACAACCTGTGGGAAGTAGAAGTAGGGGTAGACCAAAACTCAAATGGAGGTACAAAAATAGGCGCAGCAAACTGGCAACAGTTGGCAATGCATATAACTGACTGGCGTAATAGACTTAGGAAGGTCGAGGCTCTTTTATAGCACTGTATCACCAATAATAATGATGATATTCACATCTCGTCAATCTGCCATTCTATCATACGTATTTCTCTATTTTTAGCTCCTTAGATGGATGGAAAATATCGAGCTTAGTAGTGAAGTTCGTTTCGGTTCGTAAATGCCCCTTTGTCCGCTTCTCGTCGATCGATGATGATAGGGTTAATAAATGTTGAAGTTGTGGAGTAAAAGTGATGATTTATTGACAGCAACTCGTAATTACACAATACGGTGTTCGTTCGGTAACTACTCAATATTGACTGTGTTCATTTGAATTTAAATCCCCCAATTTATAATCTCACACATAGATACATAAGCACCTTAGGTCATTGCTTCGTTCATATCACACCACCTAACTTTTGCTTATAATACAATTTAATCTACGCCTTAATTGCGACACTTAGGAAGTTCAATTAGAAAATATTATTATTCGGCAATTTATTTAGTTGTAGGTAAATGAACTAATTATTAAATTATCATACGATATGGTTTTGCAATATATATGATGCAAACTTATACACGGTGAAACTATAAAAGATTAAGAAGTTAAGAATAATGTGAGATTGCAAATTAAGGGGTTACTTTATGATTGAACATGGAACTTGTTGGTCAAGACGAAATAAAGAATATATCCCTTTGTATATCAATCATCTTGACCAGCAAGTTACATTTAATAAACTAAGTAACTGCTTTGGATTATATATTTATTTTATTTTGTTTCAGCGAATCACATGATAGAATTTTTTCTTACGAACTGCAAATACAAAGTTGAAGCTACTAAAGATGTTCTCAGTACTTATTACAAAATAAGAAAACAAGTCCCTGAAATATATGAAGATTCTAACCCTCGACTATCAGAAATAGAGAAGTCTTGGACTATGGGGTAAGTTTATTTAAAACTAAAGAATAAAATCTGTAGTTAGTTTTTGATAGACTGAACAGTTCACAAAACATAGTCAAATTGAATTTACAATAGAAACAGAACAAAATCAATCCATCAATTTTTTAGATTTAAAAATTATTAAACTTAAAAACAAACATGACTTCTCCATATTTCATAAACCTACCCATACTGACACGACTATACACAATTCATTATCCCATCCAACACAACATAAACTGGCAGCATATCATAGTATGTTACCTACATAGATTAAAAGAAATTCCGATGTCAAAATACAACTTTGAGACAGAAATAAATATAATTAAGCAAATAGCAGTAAACAACGGATACAACGAACAAACAATTAAAAAAATGTTAAATCAAAAACTACACAAGAAAGCCCTGAAATTAGTATTTTTACCACCAGAGAAAAAACCCAGTACCTTCTGCCCGATTACATATACAGGCAAAATAACAACAAAAATAGCCGAACACATAAAAAAGAAACGAATAACACCAGCTTTCTGAACAAATAACAACCTAGGCAAATATATCAAAAATAACAAGAGCCAAAATAAAAAACACTTACATAGTGGTGTGTACAAATTTAAATGTGGCGACTGCCCAAAAACTTACATCGGTCAAACTGGTAGAAACTTTAATAAATGAATAGCAGAACATAAAAGGGCTTTCAGTATTAGAAAAACAGATTCGACATACGCACTTCACCTTATAGATCATAATCATTCTTTTAATGACAAATTTTAAACTCTTCACATTCAAAATAAAGGCCTTAAGCTGTCTTTGTTAGAATCTATGGAAATCAACAAATTAAAAAACACAGATATAATTCTGAATGACCAACTTGAAAAAAACAGTTCTCCCCTCCTCAACCTATTTCATTAGAGACTATAAAAAGTAAACGCAAGCCAAAATTAGATCACTTAGAAAGGCAATCAGCCGAAACAGCTGTAGTGATAAGAGTTAAAATAAATTTTGTGGAAGTTTGAAAACAAAGTTTTCAGTGTTTTATTATTACAGTTCAGAAAACGTTTAAAAATTTATTTCAACCATGAATTATTTAATTTTCTTTTCTAATTATTTAAATTTTTTTTTAAACAAGAATACTTGTTCTTTTTAATAGGTATATCTTTTTGAGTAAGCAGTAGTTTGTGATTAAAAAAAAAAAAAAAATATGACAATACTGTGCTCTTTATAAAGTATTTTTGTAAAAGTATAATATTATTAATGAATATGTAGGTATAAGAAAAACAGCTTTTGTAAAAAAAAAATTGACTTTTAATTAACAAAAAAAGATGATTTTCTTGCTTCATTAAATCTAATTTTTTTTTAACTTATAGATGTTATTGTCCATTACCACAATTAACAGATGACTTATGCAGAATATCTATTGTCAAACTTGACTCAAATACGTCCAACTTTGTGGCTAGTTCATATTTTGCCAATATAATGAACATTTATGAACTACGGATATACGAAGACTTATGCCTTAGCGAAATTATTATTTGCGACTATAGTGCTTTAAGTTGGGGACATGTTTTTAAGATGGATATTTTTACCGTTCGAAAAATGGCACATATAATGGTAAGTCATTTTATTCTTCTCATACTTTTTAGTCTAATATATTATACACACACACAACACAACAATTTTTGAAGAACCCCAGCTCCAAGGGACATGCGTGTTTCAATGGAACAGTGGGAACCATATGTCCGAAGATAAAACCGGTCTCATTCCGTAATGGAGCGGTACCTATCTGACCACCAAGCTATAATCAACCACACCCCCCTTCGCAGGGTATAACGAATGATGAGGCTTTCTACTGAAAGTTACTTTGGAGGCTCTGGGTAATGGGACATGCTCTATATTACTTTATGTGATTAAGCCACCTGATTTTAGGGGTAGCAAGAAGAGCCTTTCTCCCTATGAATGTAATATAAAGGGCGTTATTTTAGATGTATCTTCTTCTTATGGTGCCATATTCAATTAGTGGATATTGGCGACAATTCTGGCATACTCCTCTCGATCTTGTGGGGCTCTAAAGAGTGCATGGGCATTGAGGTATGTCCAATTCCTTATGTTTTTAAGCCATGAGTATTACTTTCTTTCGATGCCCCGTTTTCCTTCTATCATCTGAGATATGATTATCATGTCCAATTTTCTATCACTTTTTTCAGTAGTTCTCGCTGCATATCGGTAATAACGCGGCGAATGTTGTCCTTCAGGAGGTTATCGTTTCGTCAATAGTTTAGCAGTGTTAAATCTCAAGATCTTGAAGGCCAATTCATGTTCCGAAACAACTATCCGGTTATCCAACGTTTTCTACAATAAATCAATTGTGGCACGAGCTGTGTGACATGTTGCGCCGTCATATTGAAATGACAGCACATCATGGTTGTTCAATTAGGGAATGAAAAAGGCAGTAGTCATGGCTCTATAGTGGTCACCATTCACTGTAATGTTCTGACCAGCATCGTTTTTGAAGATGTACAGTCCAATGATTCAACCAGACCATCAAGCACACCAAACAGAAAGTTCTTCTAGATGTAATGGTTTTTTAACATACATTTGAGAATTATCTTAACTCCAAATAGAGCAGTTTTGTTTTCTGAAGTAGTCATTCAACCAAAAGTGAGCTTCATTGCTAAACAAAATTTGCTAATGAAAATCGGAATCAACTGCAATCTCGTTTAGGACACACTCACCGAATCTACAAATCTACGTCTTTCTAGGTGATAATGTACCGTTCATTGTTGCATGAATTTTTGTAAGTACGCAAAGCAAGATCTTTCTGCAAAATCTTCCATAAACTGGATGGAGACATATTCAACTGTTGGGTGCGATGGCACTTTATGCTACGCTCTACATCAGAAACAACTTCTTCTGTACGTACTTTACGGCGTGTCTGTGGATGCATATTATGAGTTAAAGTGAACGTGGTTCAAAAGCGTTTCATGGTTAATCAAATTACTTGCTCTCATGGACTATTATGTTGACCAGAAAATGGACGTAGTGCGCGAAAGCGTTCTTCAGGCGTTAAGTCTATTCGTGCTGAAATGCCAAACCAAACTTAACATAAATCACTTGACAGCTGCCAAAATGACTGACAGTTAAACTAGTAATACTAACTTACAATTCTATACCTCTAAAAAACCCCAATTTAATATCTAAGAACGTTAATAACTTGGATTTAAAATTAGTTTTTTGTAAATATTAATAAACTGTATCCAAAAATATGTGGAGAAGACTAAATTGCTCCAGAAATGATGGAGCATCGAGGAGCAAAGGGAAAGGAATGGTTGTGGATTATTTGAAAATAAGCTTGAAAAAATTAAAATATGCCTGAGAAATTAGAAAATAATTTAATCGTACCAATACATAAAAAAGAAGGAGAAACTTAGTGTGAAATCTAAAGAGCAATAAATCTAGCTCAAGATGGTTATAAGATTTACACATGGAAGAGCTATAAACTAAAATTGGAGGAAGAATGGAAGAACAGGCAGCGTTTAGACCAGATTCACAAACAAATGATAACAGATGGCCTAGGAGGACAAATTCATTAAACTTCCCGTGCTAGAATCGGCATCAATAGAGTATTGTGACTCATTTCATTGTAGTGGTTAGCGTACAGAGGTGCCATCTACTTTGGTGGCCATGATAGTTTATTTTTTATAACTTTTTTTTCTTTTTTGTATTTTAGAATTCACTTAAAAACAGAGTAAAGCAGTTACATATTGTGGATTCCCCATCGTGTATAAACATAATCATAGCATTAGCCAAAAAGTTACTTAACAAGAAATTAGCAGATAGGGTAAGTATTTTTAAATATAATTTTAATGTTACCTATCCATTAAAACCGGTAGTGCATCATTATGTATATAAGTCACTTGCAAATAACATGTCATTTCTGTAATGGTATGATGTATGGTTTCTTCCCCTGTAAAGTCTACATCTATAATATTTTCTAAACCCGAAAATTTAGATTAATATATATTTAAACTGAAATAGAAGACATGTAACATTAAGACACGGAATAGAAATCAGTTTTCAGGAAGTAGAGATAGCCATAAATTCACTCAAACATAGAAAGTCACCAGACCCAGAAGATACCAGACGCATGGAGAAACAGCATAGTGATACCAATGTTCAAGAAAGGAGATAAAGCAGATCCTAACAATTATAGAGGTATAAATCTACTGAACACAGCACTTAAGCTTAAGGTCATTCTACCATGTTTTTTTAACAAAGATTTTGCAAAACCTAGAGTGCATTTCAGCGACCTGTATAATGAAAGTTTGGATAAGTTCCATCAAAAAATAAGATAAAAACGTCGAGGCAGGGTCTCACGTGGTGTTATTCTTCTACACTAAAATGATCAGCCTCATGTTGCCAAAATAGTGAAAGAAAATCTACAACGAAAGAAATGGAGGATATTAAAGCATCCAACCTATAGTCCCGATTTGGGCCTTGCGATTTTTACATATTTGGGTTACTAAAAAAGGACTAACAAAACTAAGACGTACAAAATGCCATAAAAGAATTCTTCAAGCGACAGCCACAAGAATTCTTTAAGCAGAGTATACATCGGTTGGTGCAACAATGGGATTTGTGCCTTAATTGTAGTGGTAATTATTTGTGGGTGTATTTTCCAATAATTTTTTTCTGGACCAAAGATGAATTCCAATTGAACAAGCCTCGTAAACATATATCAAAAATTATTAAATTATACATACAGGGAAATAAAGTGTATAAAGTTAAAAATGAACTCTTTACATAGGTAATGATTATTTGATTATATAAAAATACAACACTAGGGACACAGACCACTAATAACGTGAGTAGGATCATTGATGTGATGATAACCATTTCAATTTTGAAACGGACGATATCGAATGAATATTTCTGCCGTGCATAGAATATCAAGGTCAAGGAGCTATTTCAGGTTATATTTTTTCTAGTCAATCAAATATTTTTTACATATTTTTCCGATTTAATGACATAATTAGGATGTATTTAAATTTTAAATATTGTATTTATGACCGTTTTTTTAAAGGCAGTATTTCGTATAAATTAAAACAACGATTATGTTCCTGCAAATTGTATTTTATATAAGTCTAGAGAAAAAGACATTTTTTGGTTTACAGCTACAATAAAGTACAATATTGTTTCCCTAGGATATAGGGTTACAAGTTTAGATAAAATATATTGTGGTTTTATTTTTAAACAATCAAATAAACATAATCTAAAAAAAAAAAAATTCAAATCGGGTGAACTAGAAGGCCATTTAATACTACCTAATCTACCGAAGGAAGAATACAGGGTAGAAGGAGTCGCGGAAGAAGACGCATCTCCTGGTTAAACAATTTGAGAGCTTGGTTTAACTGCACTTCTGCTGACCTGTTTAGAACAGCGGTATCGAAAGTGCAAATTGCCATTATGGTTGCCAACCTTCTTAGAGGAGATGGCACATCTCCTCTAAGAAGGTTGGCAACCAACGTTGAAGAAGAAGAAGAATCTACCAATCCATGGTCCGGGAAATGATTGATCTTAATACCGCTAAACATTAACAAGAAAATGACTTAAAGCTCGGTCTTACTGAAACCATATCTAATTACAATTGACTCCAAACTTATTTTTCAGGGCAGGTCCAATTTTACTTCTAAGTAGCAGTTCATATATATCGCTTGTTAAAATTTCTTTTATAAAAAACAGCCCAATTAACTGAGTGCCCAATATACCCGATAATATCTAGTTTTTGTGGTCTTTGAGTATGGTTTTCAAGGATCCAGTGTGGATTTACCTCACTCCAATATCTTTTTCATCTTTTTCATTAAAAACCATCTTTATTCTAGAGCTTTTAAAAACACTTAAAACAAATGTGAGCTTTAGTTATAAATACAATTTATTTTACAAAACTTTTCAATAAACGTCAAGCCATTATTAGTTTTATGAATTAGTGTCAAAATCACACCATTCTAGATTAACTGGATTACTTCGAAAATATTTGGCACTGAGAAGTTTGATTTATACCGGGTGGTGAATCGTCAAACGGGCCATAGGAAACTCAATGAGAAATTTTAAATTGTTGAATTGCTGCTTCCCTAGTTATTTTAGATCAAAAGTCATAAAAAACTATTTGTAGAGTACTAAAATCTGAATTAAAAACAAATGTTAAAACCATTCTACGAATCAAATGTACTTTAAAATTTTTCAAAAATATAATACATTTTTCAGGCCACCCCTAAAAGTTAGGCCACACGTAATACAAGAATATATATTCGGACGTGTGTGTTTTATCATATTGATGTCAAATGTTTGACAATTTGAATTGTCAATTTTTTTATTTTATGCTTAAATTATAAACAATGAATTTTACTAAATACTACTACTAATGAACATTATTACTTTGTGAACAATAAATTATATTGTTTACAAATCGATCAATATAATGAAATGTACTCAGTTGACGAAAAATCGCATAATGTTGTATTCAGGCAATAGCGCTAACCTTTTCCTGCCACTACCGGATCTTTATTTAACGTAAGATATTCTAATTCACTAAAATTTAATTCCATGTTAAGTTAAGTTATACAACAATTCAATGAAGTCCAATATACTGTTACTGTGATCTTTATTCCTAATAATAATATATGATAATTTCTAAACATAAAACTATAACAAATGTTATAATAAAACATGAATAAAACATTTTTATTATTGCTTGTTTCTCCTTAACTGAGTACATTTTTTAATCAACTTAATTTTTTTTTAACAATAAATCACAAAATTTTGGCCATTTAAATCATAGATAAATAATGTAATATAATTGATTTAAATATTGTCAAATATCAGAAACAATAATATGACAAAACGCAACACGTAATACACATTTTTTCACATAAATATGTATTATATTTTAGCAAAATTTTGGAATACGTTTAAGTCGTAGAATAATTTTAACAGTTGTTTTCGATACATATTTGAGTCCTCTACAAATAGTTTTCCATGACTTTTGGTGTAAAATAATGAGGGAAACAGGGATTCAACAATTTAGAATTTCCCATTGAGTTTTCTATGGCCCGTTTGACAATTCACCACCCTGTATGTAAATATAATTTAATCCTAATTTTTGTAGAAATATATTAGTAAAGTGTGTTGAAATGTCCTTTGATTATATTATATTTTATTGTATTTTTAAACAAAAAATAATGTAATACGGTTTTTTATTTTAGATTGTGGTCCATAAATCATATGATAGTCTTTACGAGCATGTTCCAAAAGACTTACTCCCCTGTGATTATGGTGGCAAAGGAAGGCCTTTAGAAGAAATCATTGGTAGGTACAATTTTCATGATTTTCCTAAATTTAGTTTATATCTTAACTGAATATGGAAACTTAAATAAGGTTTAAATAGCGAGTAATAAACTATCAGCAAGACTCGTCCTTCTTCGCAGATCTTCGTTTCTTATTCGGTCACTCCCAGCTTAGACCATTCCATTACCAATACCAATACTATTACCAATTACCAATACTTTTCTTTTGAGGCTAGTTGGTAGTTTTCTCACAGTTTTTTTAAAACTGTCCACGCTAAAGTTATTCGTCTTTGGATCTCGCACGTTTGGTTATTCCTGCTGATTCTTATTTTATGACCCAAATACGTATATTTCTCCACCAGTTTTACCACTTTGTCTTGAATAGTTAAATGGTTATTGGGGACCATATTTGTCATAAACTTGGGGGAACAGCTTTAGTCAAATTCATTCTGAGGCCTACATTCGAACATACAAAGTCCAATTAATTTAACATATCTGTGGCTTCTCCTAAATTATTGGTGATAAGAACAATGTTCCTCCTCTGGTGGGAACCCGTAACCTCTAAAGAGTGGACCAACAGGAAATTCATCGAATCATTGCCGGTATAAGCAATCCCACACTTATGACCAACAGCTGCCAGCGGATGAGTTAATAAGTGAAAGGGCACTCTTTTGTCTAAGCGTTGGGAAATTGGTCCTGAAGGCGGAACAATCGAGAAAAAGGTCAACGGCGTAAGGATGCAGCAGGCAACGGGGAACCACTGCATTAACAGAAGACTCTTAAATTAAAGGCTCATAGAGTACCCCTAGTAAAGTCATGAATGGCAAATGAGCCATGGAGCACCCCACCGCGCCAATGCTTCAGACCATCTCTTTCCCCCCTTATAGCACTCTGATGCGCTATAGAGGCACAACTATCAGTCAAATGCTCTTGGAAAACTCAGGACAGCACATTGTCGCTATATTCTTGTTATCTTATTGTGGCTTATTCGCGAACTAAAATTGATTACTTGGGCCTCAAGGATCCGCTCTGAGTTCCGGCTTAGTTCGGCGACTTGGTGCTCAAGGTGTTGGGCCCTACGTGCCCGGGTTTTGGGGTTTTTGTTATTTTTTTTATTGGCTTGCGCCAATTTTTGTCTTTTTGGTGTTTTGTTTTCTCTCTGGTGTGATTTTTAATTTTCTCTCTGGTATTTTGTTTTAGTCTATTTGTTATTTAGGTCTTTGGGCTTCCATCTATGGAAAGCGTCATATCTTATCTTTCGCAGTATATGACTGGGGTGGTTCTCTACCTGTCTTTCGTTGTGTAAGTTACTATAATTTGTTGCAATTCTCTAAAGAGGAATCTTTCCGCTACGTATTTTGGTACGTTGACTGCTTCTCTTAGGCTGTTCTTGTGTGCCGCTTGTATTTTTTTTTCAAGTATTGCATATGTGTCCCCATGCAAGAGATGCATATGTTAGTATATGAAGGACTATACTATTTATTAGTCTTATTTTTGTTTTCAGTCTGAGTTTGCTTTTCTTTCCTGCTAGGCCTCTTATAGATGCTCTTGCCATGTTGGATTTTTGTATAGTGGCTTCTATGTGTTTGCCAAATGTTAATCCTTTGTCCATGATTACTTCGTATCTATTCCATTCCATTACACAAGACACTTATATGTCTCAAAATGTCAGTAGTTCTCTAACGATTTAACATTACTTGTAGGGTGTCTGGAAAAATTAATACGTACATCACAAATCACAACTACCGGTTCAATATATAACAAATCTGTGCAAATCCTAGCATATGCTGATGATATCAATATTGTTGGGAGAACGAAAAACGCAGCACGAGAGGCGTATGTAGCACTAAAGGAAGCGGCTACAAAAATGGGTTTAATAATAAACATTAATTAAACGGAATACATGAAAGTAGGCCAGCAACCACAAATACGACGACCACTTGTTAAAGAAAACGACGTCATCGAAGCAGTTAACGAATTTGTATACCTGGGAGCGCTCGTCAATACGGAAAATGACATTACCGCAGAGATAAACCGCAGAATTTGCACGGCTAATAGATGCTATTTTGGGCTTAATCCCTTTTTTAAATCTACAGCTATATCAAGAAATACAAAAGTAAAACTCCTAACATATGGTTCAGAAACCTGGACTTTAACAAAAAGCAATGAAAACATGTTAGGATGTTTCGAAAGAAAAATACTGAGGAGAATCTATGGAGCGGTAAATGAAAATGGTGTCTGGAGAAGACGATATAACTTCGAACTCTATAGAATATACCAGGAACCAGATATCGTAAAACACATTAAGATAGGACGTCTGAGGTGGGTAGGCCATGTAACGCGGATGGAGCAAACCGACTCCGCTAGAAAAACGCTCCTTGATAGACCTATTGGTCAAAGAAAAAGAGGAAGACCCAGAACAAGATTCCTAGATAACATAGACCAAGATATGAGAAATATGGAAATACGTGCTTGGCGGACGAAGGCGATAGATACGGACGACTGGAAGAGAATTCTTGGGGAGGCTAGGACCCACACAGGGTTGTAAAGCCAAAATGATGATGATGATGATGTAGGGTGTCTGGAGGGTATTGGGATTGTGAGAGCTATTATCGGGCTTGTTAGTCATTGTTCTGGCAAAAAAATTCCTGGATAGTACGAGTATCTCTGGATTTAGATTCAGTTACAAATCATAAAAACGTCTTACTGCCTTAAAAATCTAGTAAATTATTTATATATCTATATGAAATAAAAGGTAATTTTACGAAGTCATTTAATACAGGACTTCCCTCTTAGATCCACCTCTTAAAATATCAGCTAAAAATCCTAAATAAAACCATATAATATGCTACAATGATTTTATTCTGTTATACACCAACTTTTATTCAATATTTCTTTAATGAGTTTATATTTATTATTCGTTCTTTTTTGCAGATATGTGGAAAGAAAAGGTAAAGCAATATCAGGACAGGTTTGACACCTTAGAGGCCTGGAGCAAATCGGATTGAACAAGGATCTCAGTGTTTTATAGGAATATTTGTTTATTTTTATATGTTTATATGATGAGTAGTATATATTATACTATTTATTTATTTCTGTTATATTCTTTAATAAAGAAGTTATTATAATTAAGTGTTATTTTGTATTATTTATTTATTTATCTTAATTCAATTACAACACATTTAGAACAAAATTACAAATACTAGTAATATAGGTATATGACAAACTTTAAATAGTTACAAACAAACATCAAGTTTATTAATATAATCAATTGATTCTGAAGTTGCAAATAGGAAGTCTTCACGGCTACCATTGTAGGATCTTGAGGGACACTCTTCAATAATGTGGTCGATCGTTTGGTTCTCCCCACAGTCACATTGAGGAGACGGGTTCTTTCCCCATTTATGTAGCATATATGCACATTTGTCATGTCTGTTTCAGATCCTGTTTAAAGTGGACTATGTTTTGTGTGGAAGATCAAAACCTGGTGGCTTGTGGGTAATGCAGGGCATGTTATTTTGCCATGCGATTCATTCTTGGGACCATGCATTCGTGATGTTGAACTCCTCATGTATCATTCTTGTCGTATATATTGGTGATTTTCTAGATCGGAGACGGGTATTTCGTGAACCTTCGGTATCTTGGTGGATCGGAGTATATTGTTCATTTTTTTTGTATTCACGTGTAAGTGCGTCAACTCGTCGTAAATGTGGAGGTGGGATGTGACTTAATACTGCAAGCCATTGGATTGTGTAGCCAAACTGGAGCACAATATTCAGCGATCGAGAAAACAAGGGTTAAGGCAGTAGAGCGAATAGTGGAAGCCGATAGTTTCCAGCTGGTACCGCAGAGCTTCTGTATAATGTTATTTCTTGTACTCAACTTTTGGGCAGTTTTTGTTAAATGCTCTTTAAATGATAGCGCTCTGTCTAGTGTTACGCCCAGGTACTTCGGTGTTTTGTTGTGGGTAAGTGTGGTATTTTCAAACCGTATGTTGAGTTCCTTTCCAGCAAATTTATTGTTTAGGTCAAAGCAACTAACTTCTGTTTTGGATGCATTTGGTTAAAGTCGCCACTTGCGAAAATACTTGTCTAATATATATAAGTCTGCCGTCAGAACTTCTTCAAACGTTTCTAGTGTTCTGCATCGTGTAGTGAGGGCCCAGTCATCGGCGTATCCGAACTTTCTTGATTGTGTTTCTGGCATATTTGCTAAATATAAGCTAAATAGTAATGGAGAGAGCACTGACCCCTGTGGTAGGCCATTCTTAAGTTTCATTGGTGGGTTGATATCTGTGTGCATTACTACTTGAAACATTCGGTGGTTGAGCATGCTATCTATTAGGCGTGCTATTTGTTTACAGGGGATTGCACGTAGAATTTTGTATATAAGGCCCTCCCTCCATACTGTATCGTAAGCTGCCAAGAGATCAATAAATGCCGCTGAAGTTTTAAGTCTTCTTTGGAAACCCGCTTCGATGTAGGTGGTGAGTGACATTACCTGGTACGCGCAGCTTCGTTCTAGTCGAAAACCCGCTTGTTCGACTGGGATCACCTGGAACAGTTCTGTACTGATTCTATTATATATAAGCCTCTCTAATAGTTTGTAGATGGCAGAGCGAAGCGCAATTGGTCTGTAGTTTTTTAGGTTGTCGGCGGGTTTGCCTGGCTTTAGTATGGCTATTATCTTAGAGCGCTTTAGGTCTTGTGGAATATTTCCAGTTTCCATTATGTCTGTTAAAAATCCAGCCAGCAAAACTTTTGTATACTTGCCACAATTTATTAGGAATTCAGGGTGAATATTATCAAATCTTGGTGCTTTTGATTGCTTAACGTCTTAAAGAGCCTCTGATATGTCTTCGCTGGTAAAGGAAAGGGAATGCTCCGTTTCTGTGGCTACATGTTTTAAAGTTTTAAGTTTTTTCTTTACATAGATGGTGTGTGCTTTATTCTTTGGTGCCCTCGATGTTTTTACTATATGTGATGCTACAGTATATGGCTTTACGGCTGCATGTCTGCGTTTTGTACGGACACCACTCCCTAATTTTATTAGTAATGACCATGCTTATCTGCATGATTTCTGGAAGCTTCGACTTTCTACTGTTTCGTTTTACTTTTGGTTTCTAGCGGCGTCTAGGCTGTACAGTAGTTCATCCGCTATTTCCTGGTCGCCAGTTTCAAGAAAGCTCTGATATAGTTCCTCGGCATTTTCCGAGAAGTTATGGATATATTCTTTGCATATCCCCTTGGTATGTGTTTTTTGGCTACACTTAGCACGGCACCAACAATTTTAATACTGGGTTGGTCTTCATCGTATATAGAGACGCTAAAAAGTAATTAATAAACCTGTTGCTATTCTTATTGGCTTTCTGTACCATTCTGTTTTTACAACGCTGCTTGTAGGACGGTGTAACATCATATCCAGAAATGATATGCAGTTGTTGTTTTCTAATTCTACTGTAAATTGTAAGTTTGGACATTGACTGTTAAAGATGTGTAGTGTGCCCATTATTTTTTTGAGAGTGCAATAATTAAATCGTCCATGTATGGATCGCCCACGTTAAAAATGGGACATTACACGGTAACTTGCTACAGCTTTCAAGTAAATCATCCAGGAAAGTGGCATAGGATTGGTGATATTTCGTTTCCCATAGGTGTACCATGTATTTGTTTGTAATACACCTCATTGAAGACCAGTATGTGGGTCAAATATGAAGGATAATATGGTTACAAATGAATTAAAACCTGGGCTATGTTGTCAGATATTTGTCCATTGTTTTTTTAAAGTTCATGATTTTCTAAATATATATATATATATATATATATATATATATATATAATTCTTTGGAGGGTAACTTTCGGGAAAGCGTCAAAACAAGGATCAGCTAGAGATGGTATAAGCCAGCTTGGTGTAGAACTTTATTCTATATGTGAAATTTTCGGTGATATGTTGTCACCTTCATCAGCACCTAAATGGAAAACCTATTATAGTACAGTGGTGGAAATCAACATTTAAAAACCTACATTGAAAATGTTCAGTTGGTCCTAGTTGTAAAAAACACTGTCACAAACATGTTAAAAATATTAAAAAATACATTTAAAATTTTGAATAAAACATTACAAACAACAGGGTAGTTTTTCAAATACAAACACAACAAAAAATCTAAAAATTTACAACCTAGGAAGCCCACCAGCACAGCCTTTAGCCAACATATTAAGAATACTGGACACACTGCTAACTATGAAAATGTGCAAGTACTAAAGAGGGTTGACAACCAATTTAAGAGAAACTTCATAGAAATGTGCTACATCCATAACTGCAGCTCTCCTATGAACTGTAAGAAAGATGTTGAAAACTTAAGTTGTATTTATTCCTTTCTACTTCAACAGGACTTGACAAGAAGTAACAAACTAGAAAATGTGGGGAACTTATCATGACATGCATAGATTACCTACCTGTGCTTTAGAGGGGACTTCATTTCCTTGCTTATTATGTTGCCTAGGGCTCTTTCTTTTCGTATCCATGTGGTTGTGTTGTGCAAAAGTGAAAATTATAACCTAGTTACATATGACACCCAGATGTTGACAGAAATATGTCATCAAAAAAGAAGATTAATTCTTCTTTTCTATTTGTGGTTTTTGTAGGTTGTAAATTTTTAGATTTTTTGTTGTGTTTGTATTTGAAAAACTACCCTGTTGTTTGTAATGTTTTATTCAAAATTTTAAATGTATTTTTTAATATTTTTAACATGTTTGTGACAGTGTTTTTTACAACTAGGACCAACTGAACATTTTCAATGTAGGTTTTTAAATGTTGATTTCCACCACTGTACTATAATAGGTTTTCCATTTAGGTGCTGATGAAGGTGACAACATATCACCGAAAATTTCACATATAGAATAAAGTTCTACACCAAGCTGGCTTATACCATCTCTAGCTGATCCTTGTTTTGACGCTTTCCCGAAAGTTACCCTCCAAAGAATTGTATTCTTAGCGTCGTTACACACACTCTATTTATATATATATATATATATAAATGTACATCTACCAATTAAACATTGCTTTTTAAACAACATTAAATAAACATTAATTCCAAAAATATTGATGAAGCGTAATTGTCTGAAATTTATTTATATTGTACTTGTTACATAACGTATTAAGGTTGCAGATCAAGGACAAGACAATTACTTTGGTTGTATTGAAATGGGTACACACATTTTTAGTTTTTTTTTTACCACCAAATATCCAATAAAACTTATAGCGAATATGTTGCTATATTACAAAAGTAATTGTGTTTGAGTTTGAGTTTATTTAGTTATATATTGTGATAAAACGAAATTAGATTTTTGTACAGTGTTCAGTTAACTTATAAGAGTAAGGTAAGCATTTTTCGTATGTAAACAAACTGTTACATTACGACATATTAAAATAAACTCCACATTTAACATACCAATTATTAACACAATGTCTAAACCAATTTAAAATATTCAAATATCTATATAAAATATATTATGTATCTTGTGTCTATCTTATAGTAATAGATATTTAGATATCCTTACGTTTATTGAACTAAAATTAAATATTTTTGGTACTAGTATCGAGTAGATAGTTTTGTCTCATAGTGTGAAACGGGAAAAATATTGGATTTTTATGTTAATATATAAAAATACTAAGAAAATAATTCTGTTTTAACTAATATAGTATTTTATATAATTCTAATATAATATACGATGTGTCAATTTGAAAATGTACCACCCTCTATAATTTGGTCCCCATAGAAAATCCCCATTAAAATATGCAAGAACACGCCAAATTTATTTGAGAGGGGAACATTTTGTACACCAGTTTTCAATTAAATTACAGTGGGTAATCAAATTCTTAGAACCATCCCATAAAATTTTACCTTTTGTTTAATAATGGTAATGGTAAAAAAAAAATACCAGCAGATCCACAAAATCATAAGAACGAAAATTCGAGAAGCCAAAGAAAAATGGTTTTCCAACGAATGCAGGGAAATAGAACAATACGAACGAAAATACGACAGTTACCATATGCACAAAAAAATAAAATCAATGACAAACAAAAGGAAATTCAATAAGTCACCCAACAGCATTAAAGATAGCGATGGAAATCTTATCTCGGAGCCATCAACGATCTTAGAAACATGGAAATCATACATAAAAAAATTATTTGCATCTGACAGGACTGATGATCACCTATATGGAGAAGGAGAAACAGGACCTTCAATCCTTAAATCGGAGATAGAAGATGCCATTGCAGCACTAAAAAACAATAAGACAGCAATGTAACTATGTAAATCAGACAAACAGTTCCTTGATAATTTAGTTGTACTTTTTAACAACATATATAATAGCGGTAAAATCCCGGAGAACTGGCTGCAGTCAACATTTATTACAATCCCGAAGAAACCAAATGCCCAGATTTGTGATGACTACCGGCTTATAAGCTTGATCAATCATGTCACTAAACCGTTCACTAAGATCATTCATAGAAGAATATAATGATAAATGTGAATAAAATATTGATAGATCGCAGTTTGGTTTTCGGAGAGCACTTGGAAGTAGAGAAGCAATTTTTGCTCTCCAGGTGCTTATACAGCGGTGTAGAGACGTTGATAAGGACGTGTATTTGTGCTGTGTAGATTTTAGAAAAGCATTTGACAATGTCAATCATGAACAACTGATATATATTTTGCGAAAGACAGGTATTGACGACAGGGACATTCGAATTGTGGCAAACCTATACTGGGGTCAAACAGCAAGAGCAAAAATTGGCAACGAACCCACTGAAAGTGTGCAGATCATCAGACGTGTCCGTCAGGGGTGTATATTATCCCCACTCCTATTCAATATGTATTCCGAGGAAATATTTAACAAATGTATGGAAAATGCAAACGAGGGCATAAAAATAAACGGCGAGTTAACGAACAATATAAGATATGCCGACGACACGGTGATCCTTGCCAGTACCGCAAAACGCAACATCATCATCATCCTTTTGGCTTTACAACCCTGTGTGGGTCCTAGCCTCCCCAAGAATTCTTTTCCAGTCGTCCCTATCCATCGCCTTCCTCCGCCAAGCACGTATTTCCATATTTCTCATATCTTGGTCTATGTTATCTAGGAATCTTGTTCTGGGTCTTCCTCTTCTTCTTTGACCAATCTTTGTTTGCTCCATCCGCATTACATGGCCTACCCACCTCAGACGTCCTATCTTAATGTGTTTTACGATATCTGGTTTCTGGTATATTCTATAGATTCTATAGAGTCTATAGAGTAAAAAGCAATAACATGCTCCATAATTACGGATAAGTAACATACTTATTAACCATGTAGAATCTTATGTGTACCTTGGCATCAACGTAAATGCAAAATGGGAACAGGCCACAGAAATTAAGGCGAGAATAGAACGAGCTAGAGCAGCATTTAGCAATATGAAAAAGCTCCTCATAAGCAAGGATTTGTCTTTTCATCTAAAACTACGTCTAGTTAAATGCTACATTTTGACGATCTTACTGTATGGTGTGGAGGCCTGGACACTGACGGAGACTTTCACGAGAAAACTAGAAGTATTCGAAATGTGGGTGTACCGACGCATTCTTCGTATATCCTGCACCGAACATGTCACCAACATAGAGGTACTCCAAAGAATCGGAAAGGAGAAAGAAATCGTGAATACAAGGAGAAGACACTCCAAAGAAGTGGCTCCAAAATCTGCGGAAGTGGTTGGGGCTCACATCGGTCGAACTATTCAGAAGCGCCGCAAACAAGATCAGAATTGCCATGTTAATAACCAACGTTCGCAACGGACAGGGCACTTGAAGAAGAAGAAGAAAGGACACAGCTTTCATTTGGTTATAATCGCACACTAGAATCTGGGGAAATAAAAAAGCAGATCAACTATCAACTACAAGCCGTATCAACTTAGAGAATACTACAAAATATCCTTATAGTGATATGAAACATCTGATTTAAGTTCATTGCAATAACATTTGGCAAAATTACTGGGAAAATTCATCTTCCAAATTATACCCAATATGCCCAAAGGTGAACAGCTCTTTGAATATCCCCACAAGTAGACGAGGTAAAGTAATTATAAACCGTTTAAGAATTGGTTATACTACCATATACACATTTTTAATCAGTAAAGATCCACTACCAATTTGCAATAACTGCTCCACTTCATTGACAGTGAAACACTTCCAAAATCAAAAAATGCATGGAATTTCAGACGATCTCAAATCTATCCTGACGAATAAGAATTTAAATGTATTAAATTGTTTAAGAGATATAAAATTGTAATATACTATTTAATGTACATAATCATATTAAAACTATTGTGTTTGTCATCCCACTAATAACCCTGCGTGGTTGATGTGGAATAAGTGTTTTAAATAATAACAAAGACTTCAGAAATTCGACAAACTTTGGAGATCGAAAAGTTATTTACACGTTTACACTCACAAATTAGAGTTTAGGCTTTTAATTGGAAATCTGTTTTATTTACTAGATCGTATTGTATTCTAAACTTCTGCACTTGGACTTATTTTTGCCTTTCTCTACTAGGTGGCCATAGTAGTATCGTATTTAATTTAAAAGATATTTTAAGGTGACCACTGTGCCTCTATGCCCACCGTCCCCGCTCTCCCCTATAGTGGTGTTTAGGGACCTACACAATAATATAAATAAATAGTGATACTGCTAGTATTAAAACAATTCGATTCAATCTTAATTCAATAATTAATTAATCGATCTTAAAGATTAATCTTGGTATTTGTTTATCTTCTGGCAGGTAGCCAATTTGCATCGAATATATCGCTGTTATTGGGTTATAGACTGGTTTTCTCTGTAGCGATCCCTTTTTAACATTTTATTTTTATGAAATTCAAAATAAAAATTGCGTCGCTTCTCGACGGAAACAAAAAATAGATTCTATTATCCATTTACGTCTTTTTACGATCTTTTCAAGGCTCGATTTTGTATGAATTAATTTCCATTTTATTGCTTACTAACTTAGTAATAGTAGTGTTGAAAGACTCTTGAATTTAATCAAATAAGGAAGCAGCTAGTTCCAAATTTCCGTTTTTAATACCACATTATGAGTAACGTAGTGTCGTAAAGAATTCCGTCGTCGCTATTATAGACTGAAAAAGAAGTTTCACTTGCTAAGGTATCAGTTTGTTTTAATAATTGTATTAATTAATTTGTATTCATATTTTGGATAATTAGCCAACGCGCTATCTTTGTTGATAAAATTCTTATCATTTTTAAATAAACATATTATATAAACTCCAAATTTTATCTCTGAAAGTAACAACAGTGTATATGTTAACGAAATCGGTACACAAATATGATCACGGTATAATTATTCTAATGAGGTAACCTTAGTTTAAGTTATAATGGAAGAAAATACTCAAGAAAAAAAATGTCTGAAGGTTTTTCAAACAAATAGAGATAAAATAAGAAAACACTGGGATAAAACAGAATCAGAGGTGGAGGAAATTTTGACAGAACTTAGAGAATGGACAAAAAGCCAAAATTTTCCAGAAATGCCAAGTAAGTAATAATAAATAGATTAAATAATTTAGTTTACAATATTAATTTTGTAAATATTTTATATTATTATTACTTTTTAAATAGCTGCACATCTATTATTCTAGGAACAGTTTATTAGTATTTTTTCGATTGTAGTGGGATGGCATTTTAGGTAATGCATCCAAAAACTTATCGAGATGTCTAGCCTGCATCTCAACATTGACCTTACTGGTTTTTGTTCTATTCAAGTTGGCATTGTTTTGTGATGGATGCGTACCGTAATGACTTTTTTAACCCATGACTGAACCGTAAATGAACCCAAATAAAGAGTGTTGAGGAACATGGTTCGACATACAGGCCGTCTAAGTGTGTTCCTATGCTCATCATTTCCTGGTAGTGAAAATTGGAGAGTATTACTATCTAACACCTCTTTGAATACAAATTTTGTCTGTTTCTTTGCCGTCTACCAGAATATCTTCTTCTTCTTAACATGCCATACACCAAAGTGCGTAGGCGACTATCACATTACTAGAATTCTGTTCTTGGCGGCGTGACACAGCTCACCTGTATTGTGTATTCCTGTCCATTCTTTAATATTCCTTAACCAGGATAATTGTTTGCGGCCGGCTCCTCTCCTACCTTCGATCTTCCCTTGTAGGATTAACTGTGGTATTTCATATTTTGCTTCTCTCAATATGTGCCCAAGGTAACCAATCTTGCGTTTTTTAATTAATTCAAAGAGTTCTCTTTCCACGCCGGCTCTATTAAGGACGTCATCGTTTCGAACTCTATCCACCCAAGGTATGCGCATCATTCTTCTCAATGACCACATTTCAAATGCTTCAAGTTTGTTGATAGATGTTTTTTTCAAAGTCCACGTTTCCATACCATAAAGCAAGATGGACCATATGTAGCACTTGACCATTCTGTAGCGTATTTCGAAGTTTAGGTGTTGATTACATAGGAGCGGTCTGAATTTCACAAAAGCTTGTCTTGCCAATTGTATTCGGGTTTTTATCTCGTGTTGTGGATCCGATTGGTCATTAATTGTGGTGCCAAGGTATTTAAAAGTTTTCATGCGATTTATACGATTGTCACCTATGCATATTATCGGGTTTTCTGGAGGGTTTCTGCTAATGACCATATATTTCGCTTTCAAAATGTTGATTTTGAGGCCATATTTTTTACCTATGCTATTCACCCTATCAAGTAATAACTGCTGATCTTCCAAATTATCAGTTATAATCACTGTGTCGTCCGCAGAGCGTAGGTTGCTAATTGGTATGCCGTTCACCTTAATGCCTAATTTCGTATCTTCTAATGCTTCCGCAAATATGTTTTCAACATATAAATTAAAAAGCATCGAAGAGAGTATGCAGCCTTGGCGGACACCTTTCCGGATTTCAAATTCATCCGTATATTGGTCTTGATCAATCCTCACCTTTGCCATTTGGTTCCAGTATAGATTCTGAATAATTCTGATCTCCTCCTGGTCAATGTTGGCCCTATGTAGTAGTTCCATCATGATATCATGTTTAACATTGTCAAATGCCTTCTCGAAGTCGATGAAGGTTAGGTAGACATCTTTTCGTTGATCTAAGCAGTTTTGTATTAAGGTGTTCAAACATAAAATTGCCTCTCTTGTTCCTAGTCCTCCCTTAAAACCGAATTGTGTTGACCCGCTAAGTTCTTCTAGTATCTTGTACATTCTTGAGTGTAATATCCTAAGGAAGAGTTTCAACAAGTGACTCATTAAACTGATTAAGCGGTGTTCATTGCATTTTGTGGTATTAGCTGTTTTTGGGATCATCACAAAGGATGACTGCAGCCATTCTCGCGGAATGTAACCAGTATCATAAATTCTATTGAACAGCCTTACCAAGATTTCGATATTCTCCTCGTCTAGTAGTTTTATTGCTTCTATATTAATTTCACCTGGACCTGTTGCTTTATGCATCTTTGTGGTTCTAACTGCATATTCTATTTCACTTCGCATTATTGATGGCCCTGATAAGTTTTCGGAAGGAAGTTTGCGCGTTGGTTGTGTTGGTCTTTCGTCATTACAAAGGCTTTCTGCGCTTTTGACTCTATGTATTCGTTTCTGTCGTTGCGTATTCTTGTTATCCAGAATATAAGCTTCTTAATTCCAATATAGATGCTGTAAAAATCTCAGATCTTTATCATTTATTCCAATTATTTTTAGATATTTAAACAGCCTACCATGTTGAACCTTATCGAACGCCTTCTCAAAATCTATAAAAAAAACGTAAATTGGTTTCTGTACTTCCCATGATCGTTGAAGTAGTGTTAGCATTGAGAACAAAGCTTCTCTTGTTCCCAATCCCTCTCTGAAACCGAATTGTTTATTTCCCATTATGTCTTCACATTTCTTCTTGATTCTATTAAGAATTATCCTAAGAAGTACCTTGTACCTAATTAGTCTAAAGTCTTTACATGATAATGTATTAGGTTTTTTTTGGAAGTGGGATAAATCATCCAACCATATTTGTGGCAGTGTTTCGTATATGTAGTTATAAATGTTTGTTAGTTTGTTAGTTCTAAATATTAGTTAGTTATTTCCCATTTTTGCTTTGTTTGATGGCTTTCTCTACTTCTCCTTTTAATATACTAGAACCAGTATTCGTATACTTGTGGCGTTAAGTGGTGGCCTCATATCCAGGAAGAGCTCTTTTATGTAGTTGGTCCACTCTTCCTTTTTTTCGTTTAAGTCGAGAATAATTTTACCTTTGGAGTTTCTCATAAAGTGAGGAGTAATTTTTCTCTGAATATAGGTAATTTCTTTAAGTTTTTTTGTGTATATTAAATTCGTCATGTTTTCTTTGTAGTTATTCCACCTCACGACATCTCTGTTTCATCCAGGCCTCTTTTACTCGCTTAACCTCGTACCTTATTTGTCGATATATTTCTCTATATCGAGTCTCATCTTTATTTTTACAATTTCGTCTTTGCTGAATAAGGTCTAGTATGTTATCGGTCATCCAATCCTTTTTCTTTACTGTTTTTTTTTTCGATTTTAAAACTTCGTTTGCTATGGTAACCATGGCGGAATTCATTATATTTATATTTTGTCAGATATTTTCTTATTCATATCATATCTTTATAGCTGTTTTTTAATTTCCATGATTTATCTTATTTCTGAACTCATTTGCTATTACGGCATTTCTTCGGAGTCGATTATTATGTTTTCTACGCTGTTGGGGTTTTTATTTTTTTTTAATTTTAGTTTGAATCGAGCACAGAGCAGATTATGATTAGTTGCTGGGTCTGCACTTGGAAATGTTTTTGCAGATGTAATACTGTTTCTAAACCTTCTGTTAATGATAATGTAGTCGATTTGATTTCTGACTACCCTTCCTTCTTGATTAGCTGAAGATTTCCAGGTATATAGTCTTTTAGGTTATTGAAACAAAGTATTTGTTATAATGCAGTTCTCTTCTTGACAGAACTGTATTAGTCTCTGCCATCCACGTACACAAGTATTTAAATCTTGAATAATTCTAAATGTTAATTGTCATTAATGTTTACAATTTTAAGGAATAACAGTGACATTGACTAAAATAATTTGGAAATATTTTAATCATTTAGTGTATCTACTACTATTATTTGTTTACATAATAAACGTTAATCTTTAAGTAAATATTCTAGTAATCATCAAAAATTGGGAGATACGACTTAAATATTTTTTTATCTGTTAAAGGATTCATCTGAAAAATCTGAATTGCTTTGAATGAAAGCTAATAGTCCAGTTATTGAAAAACTACATTAAGTTTACTAGATTTGAAGCTAATAATTTATTGCTTTTTTGCTATTTTTACAAATAATTCCTTTTCTAAAATCACTTGCACATATTTAAACTGCACATAACTTGTATTTTAATGGCATTTGTGATTATTTCATATGTGGTTAACTTCTACTCTGGAAATCTTTCTCAAAAAGATATTTTTCTACAAATTACTTAGAAATGTGTAAAACCAAAGATTTTGTTATTGGTTATAATTGGGTACTAAGTTTTTGTTTTGCAACTCTTATAAATATTATGCTTTTTTAAGACTCCTAATAAACATCTATTGTTAATCTGATAATCAGAAATATCCAGAAATTTATGTAATTAATTTTATAATTTTTAGCTGATAGTATGCTTGAATTCTTTGTTACAAATAATAAATATAATATAAAAAGAACCCAGGATAATATTAAATCGTATTATGGCGTACGAAAAAATGTACCGGAATTTTTCAAAAATTCACATCCTAGATTACCTGAAATGCAAGAATGTTGGGACATGGGGTAAGTAATTATAATTTTTATTAAATCATAAAGCTCATAAATAAGCCACAATTTAACTTTAAAATGAAGTTTAGTTGACGTTTCGATTGACACTTCGGATATCGTTCTCAAAATATAAAACATTAATCATTTAAACAAATTTTGTTTTTGTTACTTATTAAAAAAATTCTTCTAATAATTCAATTTTATTTGACCCATTCATATTGACAATTCAGACATATATTATACATTTTAAAGTAAGTCATTTCCTTTAAAATGATATTGTCAATATTTTTGAGTTGCGTTCGTGGGACGACTTTACTTGTAAGATAGTCTATTAGATTAAAAAATATCAACTTTATCTTCAGAATACCCATCAGAAATCATAGCATGTGATTTGCCTCTAAAAGAAAACCAGGTGCAATGATAAGAGTAAAATTCTTCTGTTAGTGATTTCATAGTAAATCATGAGGAAAAATAGCTGGGAATAAGGATAAAAATACATTTATTGACGTTTCAAGGAAAATTGAAACAATAAATGTATTTTTATCTTTAATGTGGCTATTCCCAATCAATGCCACACTTCAGTATTGTCATTTTAGGGTTTACATTCCTCTAGCTATACCACACGAAGGTCTTTATAGAGTATCTATTGTTAAACTATTACCATATACCTCAAAATTTCATGCCAATAGATATCATGCGCATTTAGCAAATCTATTCGAAATACGGATTTGTGAAGATTTATCAGTTAGTGAGATACTTATTGTCGACTACAGAAATCTGCAATGGGGCCATGTCTTTAAAATATCTCCTTTTGTTATACACAGAATGGCAACAGTAGTTGAGGTAAGTTTTACATTCGTTGTAAGATTTTAGGTTCAAATATTTAAAATTTTATTTAATAGTACTTAAAAGTATGGCATTGTAGCATTTTTGCCTCCATCCTATATAAACTTTAAATTTGCGTCTAACAAATATTCGAAGAATTGCGGAGCGTTCAGAACCACGCCAATTAGCAGCCTTCAAGTCCTAGCAGGAGAACCGCCATTAACTCTCAGAAGACAATATTTTTCAATGTGTTGTGCTACTAAATATCTCAGTGCAAATGAAAACCCGTTTATAACAAGATTAATAAGGAGCAACACTCCAAATATGTACTTAAATTATTACCCTAGAAACTTACCTTTCAATCAACGAATAAATCGATTTGAATTTGATATACCTACATCAATTGAGAGCCACTTCTACAAACAGAAGCCAGTCTCCTCCCTGGAAAGTAGATTTTAGATAAAATACCAAAAGTAGATTTTACCTTACTTAACTATTCCAAACATTCATACAATCCTTCTGAAATAAAACAACAATTCCGGTCTACCATCTCCAGATACCCTGATTTCAAACTAATTTTTACTGACGCCTCTAAAAAAAAAGTTTCACAATAAAACTTTTTGGATCCATTATCCAAAATGTTTTTAGATAATTGTGGCATATATGGCAGAAGCATATTTTTGATCAAAGAATACCAAAATATAAAGAAATACGTAAAAATACTTAGAGAAATTCTTTCTTGAAGGTCTATCCTTGATGTCGCTAGTTTATTGTACAAAAATATTCATTAGAAACTTCGATAATTGAATATCAAATTGCACAATTCTTATGAACTGCTGTCAGATCGCGGCCATTTGAAAATTGTCATAAAAGTTCGCTTTGCTGCATTGAAATGGCGCTTTATTACCGGTTATACGAAATATGTGCTCTATATGGACATGTCATGCATAAATACTTTAAAATAAGATTCGATCTCTAACGGTTAGGTATAAAACTAAGTATTGTGCCATATGTGACCCAGTATGCGTAAGGGGTTAACAAATCTGACATCAATTTGTGTAATTGTCCAAAAATTTTAATATTTGTTTCTTTTAAAAGGTAAATGTTGGCATGTCTTCATTTTAAATGTAACATACTCTATACTGATTATAAAACTATAACTTGATATACCGAAATAGTAAAATACGTGTAAGTTACTACTAAGAAAACATTGCAGTGATAATAATAATATATATGTTTTCTTTGTAGAGCATGTCAAGGACCAGATTACAAGAAATCCACTTTGTTGAGCCTCCATCATCGATAAATATATTGATAACCATTGCGAAGACCTTTTTAAAGAAAAAAATTGCTGACAGAGTAAGTAGTTTATGTAAAATTACTAGGAAAGATTCTAGATTAGTACTAGAATGATTCTACTTTTTCTTCGCGTGCCATATCAAAATTATCCGACTTTCGCGATCACCATTGCGAAGGCTTCTCGATCTTCTGCAATATGGAATAATTGTCCTGCATTTGGTATCTGAGTCCATTCACGAATGTTTCTTAACCAAGAAACTTGTTTTCTTCCTACACCTCTACAACTCTCTATTTTGCATTTTAGGATCAGTTGTAATATTTTATATTGACTTCACCTTACTATATGTCCCAGATAAGACATTTTTCGATGTTTAACAGTCTTTAGCAGTTCTCTATCTTTCTTGTCACTCCTTAGTACTTCTTCATTAGTTTTCCTTGCTGTCCAAGGTATCTTCAGCATTCGTCTATGAACCCACATTTCCAATCCTTCAATTTTGATTATGATCTATACTTTTAGCATCTACACTTCTGCACTACACAAAAGTACGCACCAAACATAGCACTTAACCATTATTTGTCTTAGTTCTAAATTGAGATGATTATTACAAAGAAATGACTTCATTTCATAAAAGTAGTTTTAGTCATTGCTATTCTACATTTAATTTCTATATCTGGATCTAATTGGTCCGTTATCACAGTGTTCAAATATGCCATTTTGTAAACTTTCTCAACTTGGACTTCGTTTAATTGAAGCTTTGCATCGAGATGTGGTTCATGACTAAACACTAAAAAATTGGTTTTGTTTGAGTTTATTTTAATGCCCATTTCCTCTTCAAAAATTGAAAAGCAAACAACGTTTTTTTTTGCATTTAGTAGATGTTACATTAATGCAGCTATATATAAATCTGTACCTCTTTCATATTTTATGTATGTTCTTCTGCTTTTGTGGTCTTGGTATGTCTCTCTGTCCTCTTGAATTATTTGTTTCAAGCTTTAAAACAAACGTACATTATAACAACGTTACTTCTAGTTCAGTTTTGCTTATATTGATGATCATACTCATACTCTGGGTAATCTGAAATTTTGTCGCGAAGTTAAATTGGTTGCCTACATACAAGTTGTTTAATATCAATTTAATCTGATTTATTATTATATTTTCCTTATAACGTCTATAATTTCAGATAAGAATACATAATTCTATGGAAACTTTAATCGATTATGTACCCAAAAATATATTACCTGAAGACTATGGTGGTGAAGACAAACCTTTAAGTGAGTTAATCGGTAAGTATATAGACACAAACATTTTATTATGATAAAGGTACATTTTAGATTGACTTTCTGTTCCCAAGGCAAATAACTCCATGGTTTTGTACAGAAGTAAAGGAAAAGTGCAAAGAAAAGCAAAAGCTTACCTGAAATATATGTCAACCAAAACACAAAAGACATATCATAATTTCAAGACAATTAGAAATGAAACATATGCACTTGCAAGAAAAATAAAAAATGATGACTGGAAATGCTTTTCGAAAGAAATGGGACATTGTATGTAACAATAAAACACTGAAAACTTTGTTCTCAAACTTCCACAAAATTTATTTTAAACCTTATCACTACAGCTGTTTCGGCTGATAGCCTTTCTCAAGTGAAAGGCTTAATATAAAATAAAAGACGGTTGCGTTTCGATTTAATTTGAGTCTCTTTCCACTCCCTGACACGTGTTTCTGGGTTTACCCGTCATCAGGAGTTTGTAAGAAGACTCAAAAAAATATTTCATAATTAATATGATTTTTTTTAATAAAAAATTTTTGATCTTAAATTAATTTCTAATTATTGAGAGATATGACTTATAATATTGATTTGCTTTTACAAGTTTGCTTCATTTGTCTTTAAGCGTTTTAGTACTGAGCTAATTTTTTGCTATCTAAATTTATAGTTACATCTTAAATAATTAAATCGAAAACATTGATTACACATCAATTATTGTTATGTATGTTAAGATTTTCAAATTTTTCTGCAATGATACTTTTGACATAGGTACTGTGCTAGATTAACATAATTTTTGGTTTTATTGCTAATATGCCTATATTATGGGTAACATATTTTATTTGAATTGCTGCGCATTCTATTGCGAGGTACCCAAAAATTTATAAAGTTTCCTTTTACGTGATTTAACATATTTACGATATTTAACAGAAATATGGATATTTTCAAAAACAAGACTTGAATAATACATTTATGGGTTTTTAATGGAAATTTCTTCCATATCTTTCAAATAATCCAAATAATCTTCTCTGAGTTATCGAGACCATATTATATCAGCAATAAATTCCGGAATTAAAACTTCCACTCTTCTTGTATTTTCACAAAGATAGGGAAGACGTCTCAATAAATAAGTTCAAGTGCTTTTTTAATTTCTAACAGTATTATTTCATTTGCAGATCTATGGAAAGAAAAACTTATGGAATATAATGAACGATTTGATATGCTTCAAGAATATTCCACGAAAGATGCTTAGTAATTTATTTATAGTCAAATTTAAATTTTATTTTTGATGTGTGAAACAATATTTTTTATATTTTGTATATTTTGGTAATAAACTATTGAATTATTTAGTTTTATTTATAATACAGTAACTGCATGTTATTGTATTGACTTAAATAATATAATGATAGCATTGGATTCTTTAAAACCAAATAAAACACCAGGAGTTGATGGAATTGCGATTAAAAGCGATAGAAACAATTGTTGAGAAAGAGTCAATCATAAAACTAGTTTTTTTTTCAGTTTTCACTATTTAAGAAAAAAAAGACAAGTGGTATAACAAAATTGAAGAGTGCGATCAAAAATTCGAATATTTACCTACTAGATTTTAAGGATATGAGTCAATAAAGTGGGAAAATATTAGAAAATCACGATTTTTTCGCAATTTTAGAATTTGTAAGTCAAAAATGATTATTTAAACAATGATGATTTATAGCCCGTTAGAAAATAGATGGGAAAGCATACATCTAACTATCTGATTTTGAGGTAAGGTAAAAGAAAGTGCGAAAAGGATAAAAAAGTGGTATTTTCGAATTTTATCTTTATTAAAAAGTTAAATCTTGACTTTTACAATGAACGTTGATAATGTGGAAGAAAAAATGATGAAAAATGTTGAATTACCAACTGAGTTTTGAGGTTAATGTGCAAATAAATGAGTAAAAAAACGGTTTTTTTTTTAATTTTTCGATGCTTTCTGCTCAGAAATTGAAAATTCTGCCTTGGCCATTTAAAAGAACGAAAAAAAAGTAATATAAAAATCATTGTTCAGTTAACTAGATTTCGATAATTAGCTTAGTAAAGCTTAGTTCGTAATTTATAGGTCGATAACTCCTTTTTTTCTAGAAGGACGCCTGCTGTCTGTGAAAACTTCGTTGTTTGTTCCTTCTATACAAAGTACAAAGATAGGGAGGAATGCTGGGGCAATTGTGAATCGAAGAGTCGATTTAATTTTTTTAGTAATGTCTTAAGACCAGTAAAAATGATAATACTCTTTGCTTTGCATAAGCAGTTTTGGCAGAGTAGTCATTAGATTTGTATAGATACTGGGAATTTTTGAAAAGTATTATATAGAATGTCCCCGTCGTAAGCTTGATTCCTCCACAAAGTTCCTGTTTAAATCGTTCCTGCCTGAGTACGGAAATTGTTTTGTGTTTTCCATTTTGAGAATCTATCCAAGTAGCTTCCCAGAGATGTAGCAAGATCAAAGTTAAGTGAAACATGTGAGAAATGAGGTAACTTTTATTATATTAATTTTTTCCAAGTTATAAGACATTTTTAATAATTGCTTTCATTAAAATAAAAGAATTTGTAATATTTAAAGTTTTATATTATTTTTGTCGTAGATGTTAAGTTCAATAATATCTTCATTAAAAGGATATCCATAAAATTTTGATAATCTAAATTTTCCATATATAACCTAGGAACCATTTCAAATTTTTTGTAGCAATCTTTTATGTAAACAAAGAACATGTAAGTTTTTATTAATTTGGATTATGTTGTATAATATGTTATTGTAAAATGACTTATGTTGTATAATATGTTATTGTAAAATCTGTATTTTTGATAACTGTTTGTTTGAGACAAAAGAAAACGTTTAATTTGTTTCTCTGATTATTATTTCCCTAGTTACAACTAGTGGTTGTAATAGATATAATTAGGCACCTCAAGTGGCGCCCTATATTAAATTCCTTGAGGTGTTTCCTTTTTATTTTCATTTAGTTTGTCCCAAGAAATTTGTATAAGTACCCCTTTATTTCTCTTTTTTGTAGTTGCCCCAATCCAACCCCCATATTTTCAACTTATCCACGACCCAGCTCTCCAACAACCAACTGAGTGCCGTACGCACTAGTTCCGATTATTTTGTTTGCCTAATCTTCTTCCCTATGTTCTTACCCTAAGGTAAGCAAAATAGTCGTTACATGGTCAATGGAAGGTCTATCTGAATGGTTTGATTGTAATGTAGGAGTGAGACAGGGATGTTTTTTTAAGTCCATTACTCTAATGACCTATCTTAATGAAGTATTAAGATAAATTTAAATGGATTAGAGATAAATGGTTTGATTATAAGACTTTTAATATATGCAGATGATTTGGTTTTAATGGCAATCAATCCGAAGGTGTTACAGTGAATGATTCTTCTTCTTAGAGTGCCATATCCCTACGGAACGTCGGCGACTACCATGCTTATAATATTGTTACACTGATCTCGGTCTTGCGCTACGTGTAGCGATTGGTCCGCTGTCAAACCTGTCAACTGCCGCAAATTCCTCAACCAAGAGAGTTTCTTCCGTCCTATCAATTTCTTTCCTTCGATTTTACCGTTGAGAATTAGCCGAAGGAACTCATATCTTGGTCCTCTGATTATATGTCCAAGATATTCTAGTTTACGCCTCTTAATAATATTTAATAGAGTTTGTTGATGTCCCATTCTTCGAAGAACTTCTTCGTTTCTGGTTCTGCTAGTCCATGGAATGATTAATGAACAGGAAAAATACTTCAGGATGTGGAATCTAAAAAACTTAGATAAATCCAAAATTCTTGTATTTACAAGAGGAGGTGGTGTGATCAGGGAATCTTGGAAATTGAATGATCGAGTATTAGAGGTAGTGAATAACTATAATTATTTGGGAATGATAGTAACACCCAAATTGTCGTCTAAAACTCATCTAAGTAGTTTAAAGTTTAGTAGTACCCATTTATACGTCATATAGCGTGAGTGGTTATAGGCAAATACCACTGAGAACGTAGCAAAAAATTTATTTGTATGTGGTTTCATAGTAAAGCCACTATAAAACAAAGGGATAAGTCATACAAAACAAAAAATACTTCAAAAATGCGATAAGAACTATTTAGACAATGTTTTTGACAATTTAACGACAATAACAATAGAAAATTTAATAATTTGAAACAAATAGATCCAACTATTTTGCAAAAATACCATTTTATTTACTCTTCAAATCATTTTATACCTCTCCTCTAAAAAGCACATTTTTGACTTATCTGCTTTTGTTTACCGACTAATGAATTTGTCCGACATAGCAAAAAAATAATTATTAAGTTTACTAGACAGTTTGGAATGGGATTGGTGAAGAGACTGTACTTATTCTTATCGTGACACTGAAGACAATGCCGGTAACCATGGTACAATTCATTGTACCATGGCCGGTAACTATATACAACACATGTGAATATCAATAATAAACACAGACGCTACGGGACGTATAAATCATTGGCTTTTTTAAGGCAAATAAAATATAATATAGTATTTAAAAATCAAACGTATTCAAATTTTATTAATATAATCCTGCATGTTAATTATTCATTAAAAAGTAGTCCCATTTCAAATATAAAAAAGAAAAGATCTGGTTCCTGTTTATTATCGGGTTTAATAAACTAAAGTGAAACAAACATAATATTAATATAATCGTAAGCATATTCGAAAAATATGTAAAACGGATCTCGAATATGAAACGCATTTAAAAAAATATGAAAAATAAAGTTCATGGTCACTTGTCGTTTTTAATTTAATATCAATAAATTAGTTTTTAATAAAAAATAAAGCGTAATTGTAAATAATTAATAAAAGTGCTTTTTACGATCAAAATGTTTTAGTGTTTTAATAAAAATTATTTTAGACATTAACAAAATACCGTAATTTTTTTATTAACATAATACCAACTTCAACCCATAATGGAAATGGAACAAGTCCTAAATTGATTGTTCATTACATTAATCACATATCTTAAATGTGCATGCCCTTACAGAGGAAAAGGAAGCCGATGTCAAAGAAAAATTCTATGAAGAACTAGAAGCTTCATACTTCATACAAAAATATGAAAAGAGCAACAATACCTACCAACTATAGGTAAGCACAGCCTTCATGAGGTATCTAATGACAATGGCATCGGACTAATAAATCTAGTAACTTCCCTTAACATGGTCATTGCCAGTAGGTACATGCTTCCAGCGAAGAAATATTCATAAGGGAACGTGGAGATCTCCAGATGGGGTTGCAGTAAACATGATCGATTATGTTATTATTAACTCTAGACATTACTCGGACTCGAGATATAAAAAACTATCGTCCTATAACACTCCTCAATTTCAAAATTCGATGGATACCTGTCGAAAGAACAAGCTGGTTTTAGAAAGGGATTCAGCACAAGTGACCATTTACTAAGTATGAAAATACTTATAGAACGAGCAAATGAATACCACATTCCTCTATATAAGGCGTTCATAGATTTCGAAAAGGCTTTCGACAGTGTCGAACATTGGGCAGTGAAAAGTTCTTTGATCAACAGCCGAATTGACCACAGATATACGGAACTAATAACCAATATATATATAAGGAAGCCAAAACAACAATTAAAGTATATGAAGGAACAAAATCATTACAAATAAGTAGAGGCGTGAGACAGGGTGATACAATATCACCGAAACATTTCAATCAGGCTCTTGAAGATACTTTTAAAAAATTAGAATGGGAAAAAAAAAGGTATAAAAATTTGTGAACAACGCTTGAACCATTTAAGGTACGCTGATGACATCGTATTGATAAACAATAAAAAAGAAGAATTATTTGAAATGATGAAAGAACTGGACGTAGAAGCTGGAAAGATAGGCCTTAATATGAATTACAGCAAGACCAAAAGATAAGATGAAATAGAACAAGTTAGGGATTATATATATCTTGGTCAAACTATAAAACTTAACAAAGAGAACCAAACAGCAGAGATCAAGAGACGAGTTAGACTGGCATAGGCGGAATTTGGCAAACTAAGCTACATTCTAAAAAACAAAAGATATCCACAGCATCTTAAGACCAAAGTATATAATCAATGCGTACTCCCTGTTCTTACTTATTGTTCCCAAACGTGGACATCTACAAAAGCAAACATGGACAAAATCATAAAAACCCAAAGAGCAATGGAAAGATAAATGTTGCACATAAGACTAATGGATAAGAAGAGAAACAAGTTGATGAGGAAACAAAAGCGAGGGATGTTAGACAAGAAGTTGCAAAATTAAAATGGAAATTTTCCGGACACAATATAAGACAAAAAGA